AGCTGATGTTCTACAGCCACTTTTAACTAAATGTAAATATACACTCCGTATTTTTTATTCCATAGTAAGAGCAATTCATACAATACATTTAAACTGAGCTACTTTAATACCATCTCCGAACTTTCTACCACGACTCTGCTGTTCTTCGGCTGGTTCTTCCCTGTATACGTTGATTGACAGATGTTTCGTCCAGTCAGCGGTGAGTAATCCCAAACCAATGGCGCTGTCTCAAACTATACCTACCTCTTCCGGTTTGTCTGATTTGTCGTTGTGTTTTCTGACATGTAAATTTGTTTTCGAATTTGTCATTGTGTTTTCTGACTTGTTATAATGTTTTCTGAATTGTTGTTGTGCTTTCTGAATTGTTATTTTGTTTTTTAGACTTGCATTTGCGTTTGTAATTTGTTATTTTGTTTTCAGAATTGTGATTTGCTTTGCACTTCTCAGCCACCGTAGTATAGTGTATTCCAGCATCTAGCGTGGTGTTATAGTACCTCTGGATGACGTGTTTTAGGGATTCTTATACAGGTGCTTCTAGCCTCTAGATCAACCACGAGCCCCGGCACTGTTGGCAGTGTGTAACGGTAAAAACGGAAATCCTGTGAAAACCAAAAAAGAATGGAAATCAATTAAAAGACATCAAATGAACTAAACAGGAAGCAGCACGACAATAAAGAGTAACTGAAACAGGTCACAAGTCTCACCACTAAGAGTCTCATTATACTGTTGTTGACGGGTCCGAAGAGAGGCTCTCTGAAGCGCACACTGAACAAGGGACAGGGATAGACTACAGGACAGCAGAAAACACAAAAAACTCAATTGCTATGCTTCCTGAGACCATACAATAATGCCTACAGAGAAAATTAATGTCATTAGAGCTTTTCTCAATTTCTTAGAAATCATAACTCTGCATCTCAATTTGCATATTATTCACACTAAATAGTATGCCAAATAAGTAGCTGTCCCAAATCATAGTATGCTACCATTTTAAAAGTCTGGGATCAGTAAGATTTTTAAATGTTTTTGAAAGAAGTCTTTTATGTTCACCAAGGCTGCATTTATTTGCTCAAAAATGCATTAAAAACAGTCAAAATTTATTACAATTTAAAATAACAGATTTCTATTTCAATATATTTTAAAATGTAATTTATTCCTGTGATGCAAAGCTGAATTTTTTTGCATCATTGCTCCAGTCTTCAGTGTCACATGATCCTTCAGAAATCATTCTAATATGCTGATTTGCTGCTCAAGAAACATTTGATATTATCAACATTTTTTTTTACATATTTTATTCAGGATCTCTGATGAATAGAAAGTTCAAAAGAACAACATTTATTTGAAAAAGAAATCTTCCGTAACATTATACATTTCTTTACTGTCACTGCTGCATTTATTTGCTCAAAAATGCATTAAAAACAGTCAAAATTTATTACAATTTAAAATAACAGATTTCTATTTCAATATATTTTAAAATGTAATTTATTCCTGTGATGCAAAGCTGAATTTTTTTGCATCATTGCTCCAGTCTTCAGTGTCACATGATCCTTCAGAAATCATTCTAATATGCTGATTTGCTGCTCAAGAAACATTTGATATTATCAACATTTTTTTTTACATATTTTATTCAGGATCTCTGATGAATAGAAAGTTCAAAAGAACAACATTTATTTGAAAAAGAAATCTTCCGTAACATTATACATTTCTTTACTGTCACTTTTGATACATTTCATGTGTCCTTTCTTTAAAAAAAAAAAAAAAAAAAAAAAAAAAAAAAGACTGTAAACTTTGAACATAACTGGAGTAATGGCTGCTGAAAATGTTGCTTTACCATCACAGGAATAAATTACATTTTAAAATATATTCAAACAGAAAACAGGTTTAAATGGTAAAAACATTTCACAGCATTACCGTTTTTACAGCATTTTTCATCAAATAAATGCAGCCTTGGTGAGACTTCTTTCAAACACATAAAATCATAAAGACCCCAAATTTTGAATGGCAGTGTATATTAATCTTAGGTTTATTCAGGTTTCTTACATCTGTACTCCGCTCCTAAACGGAGCATGAGTCTCAGGGGAAAGGTTTTGGCCCATGGAGCCTCTGCACGGAGCATGAGGAGCCCGAACAGGAAGGGCGGTGCAGGTAAAGGCAGGCCCTCCAGAGACTGAAACGTTGAATGCACGTAAAGAAAGCCAGCGTGCTCGTTATTACCCAGAAACCCTCGGGATACCAAAGAGTGACTTAGGTGATTCAGAAGCTTTCCTGCTGCTTGAAGAAAAAGCAAGATCAAGAACTATCAAGACATTGCAGATGTTTGGTTTTAGTTTTATGGTTGAGTAACATCCTGTGCAAGGGTCACCTGTCTGGGCATCCCAGTAGATCTGAATGAAATGATTGAAAATATCCGTCGGGAATCTCTTCTCTTCAGGCAAGCACTGCAGTAAAATGACCACCTCTGGCTGTCCCACAGCATGCATGCCCTTCGACATAACACACCAACACCGCCGGTTCACATCTATAGGAGCACAAAACACCTTAGTGATCACATGAACACACTAGCATATTGTTATCAGAAGTTAGGGCTGGGCAATATGGATTTTTTTTAATCATTATAGCTTTTCCATATCATAAAATATAAGGAAATGCTTTCCACATGTTTGTTAGACCTTGAGAATGAATGTAAACATTACTTGTTTGTTCACAAATAAACTCCACAGAGCTTTAATTTAGGGCCCCATGAAATCAGTTTTATTTTTCCCTAAATTCTGTTTTCCATTTTATTTTTCTGCAATCTGTGCTTCATAATTTAATACAAATTTATCATCAGAAATGGTGTATAATAAAAAAAAATTCACAATTTAAAGGGGTCATATGATGTTGCTAAAAAGAACATTATTTTGTGTATTTGTGTAATGAAATGTGTTTATGCGGTTTAAGGTTCAAAAACACATTATTTTCTACATACTGCACATTATTATTGTTTCTCCTCTATGCCCCGCCTTTCTGAAACGCGTCGATTTTTACAAAGCTCATCGGTCTGAAAAGCAAGGTGTGACAAAAGACAAAAACATTCAAACCCATTATAAACGAGGCATTTGTTGCATCCAGTGGGGACATAATTACGGATTACTGTATAATGACTTATACTGTCTTTTTACGCGTTGCATCGCGCCGGGATCCGACGAATGAGCGGCAACCACATGTGACGACCCCGGGCTGGCCTCCGCTTCGCCCAGGGTGAAAGCTGATCTGGCGATCCACAGCGCGAAGTTGATGCATTTCCTCAGCGACCAGCACGGATCAGCTCTAGACATGACGAAGCAGATATCGTCCTCTTTTGGAAGGTCAACCAAAGTAATTTCGCTTTCATAACGAAACACACAGCTCCTTCACGACAAGGCAGCGGCGGCGGCGGCAGCAACAATACTACAGCGAGAATAAAAGTTACGCCTTCTTTCTTTGCGTGAACATTTGGGCGGCGTTATGCAAATCTTCCCACATCGTGAGGTAGACATGTGGGGGCGTGTTAGAACGAGCTGTTTTAGGTAGGTGTGGCTGACTCTTAACTTTTATAAACAATATCTCTTTGGATTTGAGACTTTAGTCTTTGCAACTTTACAGATCTTCTTTATGCACCAAGAGCTTGTAACACTCCAAAGAGAAAGGAAAAATTGAAATCGCATTATATGACCCCTTTAAGCCAGGACAAGATCTTAGTCAAATTAAAGTGTTTAAGCAGCTTTTCTAAAAAATATACATTTTTATAAAATTTTAATCAATCTATTTATAGATTGAAAATAAAATATAACAACTAATTTTTATTTTTGTCAAATAAAATGCACTCTATAAATCAAATCATGGATGTAAAATATCTTTGTTGCATGAAATTCCTTAAAAATAACATCATTATCATTATTATTTTGAGAAGTAAATCTTTAGTTTAAATTCTGCTGTCATCAGCTGTTAGATTAATACATACCAGGTAAAAAATATCCAGAGCTTATCATTAACACGCATGCGCGCACACACACTCAGTGACAGACTACAGAACAGCTTCAATCACAATATAATATACCATACTGATTCACACAAGCTCCACATGTCAAATCACCAAAACCAAAAATGCATTAACAGTGTAATGAGAAATTAGCGACATACAGCTGACAATCTTCACAACGGCCAGCAGGTTTGCATTCAGCACAAACACCAGAGGCGCTGCAAGACCTCTCTCCAGCTCCTCTAAGAGCGACGACTCCGTTCTCTTCTCCTCCAGAGTGTAATCTGCAGAAATAAACACAAGAACCAGCTTCTGAAATCTCAAAATCACTCATGAAATGCTTTAGAAGTACTGATAACATCTCATAATGACTCTCTCTAGCAATGGTTTACCCAAATATAACACTTTTGTCATTGTTTACTCACCCTTGTGTTGTTCCCACCATAAAAGGACTACTTTTATGGCATTTTTTGGTGCGTAGCTGCTTGTGTTCATTGTATGCATTCATTATATGGAAAATCTTTTTGTTCCACAGAAAAAAGTAAGGAGGGTTTGGAAAAATTATTTTGGGTGAAGCCTAATTAGTCAGAACTAGTGTGCTTATTAGGACACATACCTCCTTTGACCCCTGTTGATGTCAGAATAGGGGGAAGGTCCTTTGGAGGAGTGGGTTTTGTAGAGTTGCCACTAACTTCATCTCCAGCTCTAAGGTCAGATACGTCCTACAGTGCAAAATCATTGACAATCATTGAGCTAATAGAAAGTCAAAAAGTAATAACATATTTGTTTCTAAAGGTTACTTCACAAAGAATAAAGGGAAATTTAAATAACAATAAAATAAAATATTGAATAAAATAGTCATTACAATAAATATCCTCACAATGGGGCCATTGTACGAGTTTAAAGAAACAAAATTCAAATTAAAATAATTATAAAATAAAATACTTTAAAAAATAAAAAATCAATATGATATTGTAAGGTTTTTATTTTTTAATTACTGTAGAAAGATTCATGGGAAATAAAAAAAACAAAAATAAAATCATACAATGAATAAAATAAAATATTCTCTCTATAGGGTCCTTATAAGAATGTTTACTTTTCCTATAAGAGAAGTTACTTTTCAAAGATTAAAGTGAATTTAAAATAAAAATAATAAACAAATAAAATAATTATTAAAACAATGAAAAATAAAATATAATTAGATAAAATTAACATTTAATCAAATAAAATATGCTCTCTATGGTGTCATTACAAGAGTGTATAACTATTTTATAAAACATACTTTACAAAGACTTAAGAGAAGTTAAAAATAAAGTAAAATAAAATAAATAAAATATACTCCTCATAAGTGTAAAAATGTTTTTAAAGTTTCTTCACAAAGACTGGAGGGAAATTTAAAATAAAAATAATAACAAAATAAAATTATTATTTAAATAATGAATGAAATTAAATAAAATATCCTCTCTATAGGTTCATGACAAGAGTGTAAATATGTTTTTGTAAAATTTCTTCACAAAGATTAAATGGAAATTAAAATAAAACAAATAATAAAATCAAATCAAATCAAGTAAATAAAACATCCTCTCTATAGGGTCATTATAGAAGTGTTTTTTAAAGTTACTTTACAAAAATTAAAGGGAAAATCAAATTCAACAAAGAAGCAGAAACATGTCCGGTCGTACCGCCTGAGCGAGCTCAGCCCTCTCTGTGTGGGACACACTCCTGTAAATAGGAGAGCTGCTGGCACTTCTACTCTCAGACTGAGGAAGTAGATTATCTGCAAACCAGACCTTCTTCTGGTCCTTGCGAAGCGCCCCTGATGAAATAACATCATTGTAACTGTATAACTAATGTGTGAAAACTCATAAGCAGGGGAATCCACCGCGACACTCACGGTTCATCAAAGTTGAATGACAGGTGACACAGACACGTCCCTCTTTCCCACCGAGATGAGTCAGTTTGAATCTGATGTCACAGCACACCACACAAAACACCTGCAAAACAAGTAGATGTTCATGTTTTAAGGAGAATGACATCTTAAAGGGATAGTTCACACAAAAAAGAACATTTTGTTATCTTTTACTCACTGGCTTCAAACATTGTAAACCTAAATAAGTTGGCAAAACTCACAAATTTGAGGCAATCAGTTACATCAAAATTTTGTGAGTTAATAAATTTGAAATTTCAGTAAGCAGAAATTTGTATTTTGTACACACTGGTTTTAATTGATTGATTAGTGTTATCAAAAATATAGATTTTTCGATGCTTATAGATACTGAAATATCTAAAACGTTTCAATACGTTTTTTTCGCAGTACAGATACAGCTGCACTTTCTCGCACTCTCTTCTTTCTGACAGTCAGTTCATATAAACCTGTTGTATGTAAGCAATAAGGTACTCGAGGCCATGCTGTATCGTGAATAAATCATGGCTGAAGGGCGTTGTTAGGTCGCGTCGTGCCTGCAACCCCTTCAGCTGTGATTTATTCACGATACAACATGGCCTCGAGTACCTTATTGCTTTTATAAAACTGTTACCACACAATAGAAAATATTAAAACCAAAAATGTATGTATTGAAATGTAACTTTTTTGAAGCAAGTTCGTTAAATTATGTTCTTTGGCTAAAAAACAGCAACAGTTCCTGACAGCAACAGTAAACGGCAAGAGAATGTTCCGAACATGCCTCATCTAATGGAGATTAAAGTCGGCATGAAACGGAAGTTGCGATTGTCTTTTCTTCTCTGCTGTGATGTATATCCGAGTGAAACGGCATCTGAAATGAGAGGGCAGGACTTGATTTCATCCTTCGGGAATTGATTGGATCGTTGGAAGTTTGGGCATTGCCAACAAAATGGAGGCAGATCTGAATGCCAGTTTGCAGTTAGTTGTGGGGGATTTCTCTCCACTGGATTCACCGCCGACACCCTAGCATGAATAAATGCTTTATTTTTTATATTGAGGATGAAGACGACGATCAACGGCACAAAACATGCCTAAACAGTGCGTGCGCGCGAGAGAGAGCCTGAATGACTGAGCGCATCCTCCATCAGGTTAAGTTATATTCATGAAAAAAATTATTCGTTTGCAATGTTCTAAGAGTAATGTTGTCGTAATATCCTAATATCTTTTCAATGTTTAAGGGTAACGTACTCCCTTATGACTGGTGTCAAGTGAAGCATCAGCTTCAGCTTTTCCCCCTGTTGTTTATTCCAAACGTCACTGATGTCACTGCAGCTGCTGGCAGTTCCGGATAGCTCCGCCCTTGCGCCATAGCTCGTGACCGGAAGAGAAGATGAGTCGTTTTGAGGGGGAGGGGAGGTTACCGTTTTTGATTAAAGATTACGAGGGCACATGAATTTTTAAAAAATAATGAAGTGCACGGATAAGTTATTTATAATAAACACTACAGTATTCCATCAAATAATAAGAATCGTCAATTTTGATTTCATGCCGACTTTAAATAAAAACAGAGAATTGGAACTCTTATCATCCGCTGTGTCATTTATTTTTTTAACACCATATATGATATTTTCTCACACACATACATCTGCTTATCTCTCAGCATGAGAAAACGTCTGTTTTCCATCTATTAGTTTTAAAACAGACCGATTCGCGGCACAGCGTGAGTTTGCAAGCATCATTACAGTGTAAACTGATGGACATACAGTATCAACAGAAAACGAATAAATACAGTAATATTCCCTCCTCACTTCGGAAACTGTAGGGCTTCCACACAGACGCGCACACACATCTCAGCATGAGAAGTGTTTATTAGATGGTGGGAAGGGCGGGGTCTCAAAATTAAAGATGAAAAATGCAACATAACACCAGCAGGGGTCACTCATACTTCATTTAATAAATAACAAACAGTTAATTCTGCCGAAATACATAATAAATTAAAGAGTTTTGATGCTATGCTTATGTTGCTAAGGGTGTTGCTCAGTGATACACAGAATGTTGGGTGAAGCGGACATAGCCATGCTGTATCATGAATAAAACACAGCTGCTGACCAATCACAATCGAGGAATGGAACTAACCATTTTATAAAACAAAATAAACATCATAGAATGAGGCCGAAAATGTATTTAATAGTTTTCTACATATTACATACACTCCATAATGCTCACACAACCCTATTTTGAGTAAAAATGGGAAAAATAATACTTCTCTCTAAAGACATTGGAAGTTAACATATGCAAATCCACATAAATACGTTTTTTCTCCAATGTAAAGTGCAAGTTCTCCAGTGTTTTACCACCTGAAGAAGTTTTCATTAAAGATATACCTCATTGTCATGTTCTAGCCCAAGTTTTCAATAAAAATAAAACATTTTATGCCCTTAATGTTGAGGCAGTTTTTCTCTGTGGTATCGAAAAATGGAATCTAATATCAAAATTTTTCAAGATATCATCAAATTTAGAAATTCCAGTGTTCAGGATCACCACAACCAGCTATAGCTAATTCAGTAATTGTGAACTTGCTAATTGGTAACACATTGTTTTGATTAGCATAGCAATTGCTGAATGCGTAAAGCAATATAGAACATCTAACATATATCTGTTCTCTCCATGATGGTAACCCCACAAACTCTTAGCAAAACATTAAACAGTACAAAATCTCCCATTTAACATTAATCAAGTGCACAAAAAGATTATATAACACTTTAATTGAGCATTTATACTCCCTTTCAGTTTCATAAACAAGTTCATTAAACTCAAAATAATGAAACAATTCAGATGACTTAAAATGCGTCAATGATGTAAACTCAAAAGAACAAGAAATACTCATAAAGAAAACTCATAAAAGTTCATGTGATTGAAGCAATTTAGTTTAAGTTTGCCCTAGTCAAACCAATTAATTATTTCGAGTGTTAGGGTTTACGGTGAACCTGTAGAATTTTTTTTGAAGAATGTTGGTAACCAAAAAATAGCTGGTAGCCATTAATTTCCACCATATTTTCCCATACTATGGAAGTCAATGGGAATCAACAATTGCTTGGTTAAATATATATAAAGAAAGAAAGAAAGAAAGAAAGGGGTGAGTAAATGATGACAGGATTTTAATTTTTGAGAGAACTATACCTTTAAACTTTGTTAAATTTCCACAAGCATCTCTCACCTTCCCACACGCTCTGCAGTGATGACGTCTTTTGGTGAAGGAGAATTTGGATCCACATTTCATGCATGCTGGTGCCTGAGAATCGGGGACCCACTGTGGGGCCGTGGTGCCCAGAGAACTGCAGCGCTGCATGGGCAAAGCACCAAGTGAACCCTTCCTCCCACCACACACTAGTGACGCTTCCATTCCACCACCCTTCTTGCAGTCTTGCGTGGGGTCTGAGGGCTCCGTGCTGCCTGTTTGGTGGGTGTCCTCCATAGGAGAGGATGGAAGTCCCAGCACAGCCTCCAGCTGCTCCTGCTCATTCTCGGCCCGCTCTTTCTCTTCAATGACAGAGTCCTCTTTCAGTCCAGGCCTCAGCTTGCGCTCGTCCAGCAGTGACTCGCTGGAGTCCTTGAGGGTGGAGTATCCGAAACGCCTCTCACCCCACACAGACAGAGTGGCGGTTACTGCTTGCCTCATAGTCTCAGTGGAGGGAGCTTAAAGCGAGAGGGTTACTGATCATACTTTAGCCCACCCTGAGCTTTGTTTTACCCTCAAACCATCACGACGTGGCCCGCACAATGTCCTGCCAAAAGATGAGTCAGATATATTAATTTCCAGCAGCCCAGTGTATTTGTCAAGGATGCTTGGCTTTGCTTTTTTATTTAAAAAATGTAAACATTAGAATCCATTTCAGTATTTTTATGATGAAGATGCTGGACTGAATCAACTTCAGTTTACTTGTTATAGAAAAATCATGTTAAAATGTGAGTCCAAATATGAGCCATCAGGCTTTTGAGAAACGGTTATTTGTTCATCGCTCAATTATCATTGTACTGCATTGCATTATATGTTTTGAAACTACAGCAGTGATCATAAAACCAAGCATTTCAAGATGATCTTACTAAGACATATTATTGGGACACAAAGAGTGACAAATAGTCTGCTATACTGTTATTAAAAAAATCGTATTGATTTACATCACAAGCGACCAGAATTTCATCTTCCTTTTCGGCCATATAAATATCAGCAAATATTTTGGCTCATTTTTAGCCGCTGAATAAAACTAAGGTGCTTTTCCCTACTTGAGTATGAGCCTTACAAGCCTGAAATATCAAATATGATGCAAACTGCAAAACTTGCTTTAGATTTTGTCCAAAAATTAGATTTTTGTCAGGCTTTACAGGGTTCAAATGTAAGAAACTTCTTGTGATGAATATCCAAGTGTATATTTTAAGTTAAATGTTGCATTGCTGCATCCCAAATAAAATTAGTAAATTAATGTACTACATATTATAATAAATGGTAAACATGAAATGATCATTCTTAAATATTAAACTATTATATTAACATTGAACTCATATATTAATTCAATATTAAACTGAATTAAATAATAAATACTAAGCAATGTTAAAAGGATAAATACATGACTTTGTACCTAAATAATGACTATTTATCCAGTATAAACAACATAACATACTACGATAAGTAGTATACTAGGCCTATACAAGTTATTATAGACCAGGCTTTGAACACATTTATGCAATATGTATGATGCTCCATCTATTTATCTACTAGGTTACTTGGCCTCAAAGGGGTTGGTATTTATCAACATGGTACTAACATGGTATATTATGTACAAAAACGTAAGGCATTTCAGCATTTTATATGCCACACTCTCAGACACACAGACACAGATCCTGCATGACTATTTCACAGTGAGGATTTGCTGAGTGGGCAGAAAGACTCGCCTGCATAGGTGCATATGCAGATACACATATCCAGAATCATGCATGATAAACACAACTAAACACTAACGCATTTCAGTGTATATTATTTACACAAATTCAGATACATAACTACAATAACAGCTGTCAAAAAAAGAAAGAAAAAAAAGTGCTGCTTAACTGATTTGGAGTCCGAGTTTGTCGCCTCACCCCATCTACGCTATCTTACTAAGACATATTATTGGGACACAAAGAGTGACAAATAGTCTGCTATACTGTTATTAAAAAAATCTTATTGATTTACATCACAAGCGACCAGAATTTCATCTTCCTTTTCGGCCATATAAATATCAGCAAATATTTTGGCTCATTTTTAGCCGCTGAATAAAACTAAGGTGCTTTTCCCTACTTGAGTATGAGCCTTACAAGCCTGAAATATCAAATATGATGCAAACTGCAAAACTTGCTTTAGATTGTCCAAAATTAGATTTTTGTCAGGCTTTACAGGGTTCAAATGTAAGAAACTTCTTGTGATGAATATCCAAGTGTATATTTTAAGTTAAATGTTGCATTGCTGCATCCCAAATAAAATTAGTAAATAAATGTACTACATATTATAATAAATGGTAAACATGAAATGATCATTCTTAAATATTAAACTATTATATTAACATTGAACTCATATATTAATTCAATATTAAACTGAATTAAATAATAAATACTAAGCAATGTTAAAAGGATAAATACATGACTTTGTACCTAAATAATGACTTTTTATCCAGTATAAACAACATAACATACTACGATAAGTAGTATACTAGGCCTATACAAGTTATTATAGACCAGGCTTTGAACACATTTATGCAATATGTATGATGCTCCATCTATTTATCTACTAGGTCACTTGGCCTCAAAGGGGTTGGTATTTATCAACATGGTACTAACATGGTATATTATGTACAAAAACGTAAGGCATTTCAGCATTTTATATGCCACACTCTCGGACACACAGACACAGATCCTGCATGACTATTTCACAGTGAGGATTTGCTGAGTGGGCAGAAAGACTCGCCTGCATAGGTGCATATGCAGATACACATATCCAGAATCATGCATGATGAACACAACTAAACACTAACGCATTTCAGTGTATATTATTTACACAAATTCAGATACATAACTACAATAACAGCTGTCAAAAAAAGAAAGAAAAAAGTGCTGCTTAACTGATTTGGAGTCCGAGTTTGTCGCCTCACCCCATCTACGCAGCCAGCAACGCGACGCGACAAACTAGAACGCGTCGCGCACTTGCAATTATGTGAGCGTTCTATAGCCTGCGAAGCGTCACAACATCACAGCATTATAGTTTATAGTCTATTCTCCGGAATTGTGGCTCAAATCGTTAGTGTAGCATCTGTTACAGCAAAGAGGACTGAATACGCGTTTGGTTATTATTCTCTCAGCACGGCATTGCAGAAGAGCCGCCGCAACCTTCACACAAGACAACATCTTCAATGCGTTTGACATGAACACACGTGCCAGTGGTGATTCAGCATCTGGTTAGCAGCAACGCAAACGCACATGTGTTCATACATGGCTGATGTGCATCATTCTCGCCTGTGGCTGCTGCTGACTACAGCAATGCGACACAGTGCCGTCAACAAGAGCCAATTACCCTCACTTACAATAATTACCTCAGAGTAAACCCCCGAAAACTCCCACAAGAACCAGAGATTATTATAGCGCTAGATAGTGATACAACGAAGGAACAAATATGATAAATGTAAATAATTACCAGGATCTCTGTATCCCATCGCCACCTCTGTGCGCTTGTCATCAGAGGTCTGCGCGAGATCAACGCGCGTTGGGGCGTCGCGATCACTTGAGAAGTCAGTGTGAGCACGTTTACTATTCTCTAAGGTCTCCTCTTTATTTCACATGATTAATATAACCAATCGTTGTCTTGGTATTTCTATTACTTGGGTACACAAGCTCTCATTATTATAGATAAACAAGTCTTTAATCAACCACAGCGTGGTCATATGTGACACTGGACCACAAACCAGTCATAAAGGTCAATTTTGTAAAATTGAGATTTATACTTAATCTGAAAGCTTTCCATTGGTGTATGGTTTGTGAGGATAGGAGAATATTTGGCCGACAACTATTTGAAAATCTGGTATCTGAGGGTGCAAAACTATCAAAACATTTTGAGAAAATCGCCATTAAAGTTGTCCAAATTAAGTCCTTAGCAATGCATATTACTAATCAAAAATTAAGTTTTGATATAGCCTATTTACGGTAGGAAATTTATAAAATATCTTCATGGAACATGATCTTTACTTAAAGGGATAGTTCCCCAGAAATGAAAATTCTGTCTTCATTTACTCACCCTCATGTCGTTCCAAACCTGTATGAGCTGCTTTCTTATGTTGAACACAAAAGAAGATATTTTGAAGATTGCTGGTAATCAAACAGTTGGTGGTTGCCATTGACTTCCATAGTAGGAAAAAAAATACTATGGAAGTCAATGGCAACCACCAACTGTTTGATTACCAGCAATCTTCAAAATATCTTCTTTTGTGTTCGACTTAAAGGGGTCTTATGCTCTTTTACAAAGTCTTGATTTTGTTTTGGGGGTGTACTAGAACATGCTCTCATGCTTGGTGGTTCGAAAAACGCATTATTTTTCACATAATTTACATTATTAAAATACCTTTCTCTACGGTGGCCGAGAGAGCTCAACGTGCTGCAACTTAAGAAAACACATGCAAATTGAAAAAACACCAGCAAATTAAGAAAACATCTTCATCAGTTTGACAACACACGCGCTGCAAATCCTCACAACACATGCAAATGAAGAAACGCTGCAAATCCTCACAACACATGCAAATGAAGAAACGC